CATCTGTGGGGCTGCGGGGGACTTGACTTTCTCTTCGGGACCCCGCGTCTTCCGGCGTGCCTGGTCGTGAGTGCGAGTCCCGCGCCGGCAGTTAACTCTCCCTCGCTGCTCGCCCTCCTCCCGGCGCCGGCTCCGCGCTGGATGGGGCGGGCCGGTTCCCGGCCCCGAGGCATCTGTGGGGCTGCGGGGCGCTGGACTTTCTCTTCGGGACCCCGCGTCTTCCGGCGTGCCTGGTCGTGAGTGCGAGTCCCGCGCCGGCAGTTAACTCTCCCTCGCTGCTCGCCCTCCTCCCGGCGCCGGCTCCAGGAAGCGCTGGATGTTGCGGACTTAATCTGCGCTTCGGTTTCCAGTGGCTGAAGCTCTGCTGGGCCGCGGGGCGGGAGCGGAGGTGGGGCTGCTGGTCGTTTACATCGGCTCTGCGCTCCTGCGCTTTGCCAAGCGGGGAGAGCGAGCGAGCGAGCCAGACCGGAGGAGAGCGAGAGAGCGCGGAGGTCGCCTTAGGGGCCTGGCAGCGGTCCTCGACCCCTTTGGCGGACCCTTTGCCGCGCGGAGGGGGTCTCCCCTCCAGCTGCCGGCCCGGGAGGCTTCCTGCTCTTTCCCTCGCGGATTCTCCCTGCTTTGGCTCCATTCTCCTGACCCCGCGGCCCGGCCTGGCCAAGGAGGACCGCGGAGGGAGGGCGGGCGGACGGCGTGGGCAGGTCTGTCCGCACCCCCACCCCCAGGAATGGAGCAGCCCGCGATAAGGAGTCCTTGGCGGCCCGCCTGCAAGGAGGCGAGGACGGGCAGAGAGGCCAGCCACTTGCCAGGTGGGAGAAGACACAGGCAGGCAGGCAGGCAGGCAGGCTTTGATGGATGGGCCTCCTTCCTTTCCCTTCCAGGAGCTGCTGGGCCTGAAGGCGCCACGCCAGCCGTGAAGGAGGGCGGCGGCCCCCGAGGTGCCGAGGGGGCTGCTCCCGGGCCCCCCAGGTAGGAAGCAGGGAGAGCAGGGAGGAGGGAAGCGTGCCCTGAAGCACCTGTAAGAAGAAGAGCTCCTTTCCCTGCCTTGCCTTTTCGGAAGGTGTGTGTGTATGTGTGTGTGTGTGTGGGGGGGCCCTCAGAACCCGGCTTGGCTTTGGCTTCTGAACCGAACCATCCCGGTGTGGACTCTTTGGAGTGTTCCTGTCATCTCCAAAAAGCCATCTTTCTCAGCCTGGTCTGTGCTCAGAAGGTTGGGTCCTCTTTCACACAGAGAGTTTGGGGTCTGTGGCTTCTCTTAAAGGCCTCCTTTCGGAGACCTGCCTCCATGGGGTGCTGACGGTGGTGGGACCTGGGAACAGCACAGCCCCCCCCCCACTGGCTGCAGCAGTGGCTTGGCTGCATGCCTTGAGCCCCTCCTGGCAAGTGGGAGCTGGGCTAGGGTGGGGTGAGGTGTGGAGGCGAGGTGGGATGGGGGGGCTGATGGCTGTGCCCTGAGCATAACGGGCTGGGAAGCAGCTGCTACTGTGCCAGCCCCCACCCCAGCCACTGCAGTTTTCAGGATGCAGTCGGGGCTGTTGTCCCATGGGGGGGGGAGGCTGCCTGCCAGATGTCCCCTTGGAAATAACACAGCCCCATCTCATCTCCCCCATGCGCCCCCCCATGCTACCCCTTCTGGTTTCCAGTAAGTCCAGGCGTGATGTGACTAGCGAGATGGTGCGGGCCTCAAGCGTGCTAGTGCTGGATGAGCCGCAGAGCCTCTCCGTGCAAGCGTTTGGGCTGAGAGACACCCTCATCAGGTCCCGGCTGGTGGAGCAGGAGGAGTCGTACACCCACCTCCAGGGCTTCAAGTAACTTGTGCTCCTGGGCAAGGGGGCTGCTGGCGGCCAGAGGGCACTCTCTCTCTCTCTCTCTCTCTCTCTCTCTCGCCTGCCCGCTTGTTTTGGGGTGGAGGAAAAGAGGGTCAAGATGGACTTCTCAGCCTGGCCTGCCTGTTTTGGGGCCTCACAAGTGTTCTCCTCTCAGGTTTTTTGCTGGAACGTACAACGTGAATGGCCAGTCGCCCAGAGAGAGCCTCCAGCCTTGGCTGAGCCCAGACTCTGGCCCTCCAGATGTTTTCTGTGTGGGGTATGTGGAAAACCTTTTCTTGACACACACACACACACACCTGTATTACTTTCTGTGACTGTGACATATTGGGGATTTGCAGACAAAGGCTGTGGGGCAGCGGGGGCGGGGGGGGAAATATCAGCTCAGAGGAGCAAGGGGCTCGTTCCTCTGGCTTTCTGGGCTGAGTCTGTCCCCTGCTACATCGTGGCACCAGGAGGGGAGGATGCAGGGTGTCCCATGGCTGTTGGGT